CAGGAAACAGGGGGCGGAGTCAGAGATCATGTACATGGAAAATCAGGAAACAGGGGGCGGAGTCATAGATCATGTACATGGAACATTAGGAAACAGGGGGCGGAGTCAGAGGTCATGCACATGGAACATCAGGAAACAGGGGGCGGAGTCAGAGGTCATGTACATGGAACATCAGGAAACAGGGGGCGGAGTCAGAGATCATGTACAAGGCCATCAGGAAACAGGGGGCGGAGTCAGAGATCATGTACAAGGCCATCAGGAAACAGGGGGCGGAGTCAGAGATCATGTACATGGAACATCAGGAAACAGGGGGCGGAGTTTTTAATAATATGGGGTGGGCTTCTTGTCATTGGCAGCCCCCCCTAAATATTGACTATCGTGGAGAAAAGTTGAAAACATCGTCTTACTCGGCAACGTCCAGAGCTCAAGACAAGACGGCTGATTGAACAACACAGGTGTGATAAAAATACCATCTACTGGTGCGAGGGCTTACATACTTCCTGCCCCCCCCCCACGGTCGAGCCACCCTCGTCAGAAAGGTCAACTGTGGGCGATCATGATTCATAACGTCTTTTTATCCAGAGAAAGAAACAGAGCAGCACCTGAATCTGCAGGAGGACTTTATTCACTCTTCTTCTATGGCATCCTGCCGAACAGATCGATCGATTAATACTTTATTGATCCCAGAGGGAAATTAACAGCAGCAGGATTTTCATGGAGTGAATTATGGTCCTTCACACAGAGCAGCAGAGGGTCGGTTAAGACACCTCAGGTAAAGCGTTTTCCGGTGACAGCTCACCTAACTGATCGGCCAGGTGTTTCCCTTTCTCTGGAGGTACGACTCTCTCTTCGTCCATGTCGCACTTGTTGCCCACCATGATGACCTGGGCGTTGTCCCACGAGTACGTCTTTATCTGAGTGGCCCTGAAACACATTTGACTTTTATTTCAGGATCAACCTGACAGAAACACAAACCCTCGTCTCAGATCACACACTCGTACCAGTCTTGGACGGCATTGAAGGATTCCTCATTGGTGATGTCATACATGAGGATGAAGCCCATGGCGCCGCGGTAGTACGCCGTGGTTATGGTACGGTAACGCTCCTGCCCTGCTGTGTCCTGGAAAGACAGCCAAACACAAACTGACTTACTGTTTTACTGACTCTGTAAAACTAAAACTCTGATCACAGACAGGAACAAAACCAGATCTGAACGTTTAAAACATGATCCCATAAATCTGCAAACCAAAACCAGACCGTCAGCTGAGGGACCGAGCGTCCAGTGATAAACCTGAACTGATACCTGTCTGACCGCCATGCTTCAAAAAAGAAAAAAGAATAGAATAGAAAAAGAGAAGAACAGAGAGCAATAGAAAAGAATAGAAAAGAGTCGAATGAAGTGGATAGAATAGAAAACTTGTAAATTTGTCAAAAAGTCAATACTGATTATAGATTATTTATTAAAGGGATATTCTGGCATAAAATTCATTCATGGTCAAACACCGTAACACCGAGTTAGACCCCGCCCCCTCCAGAGATGAATGTTGTCGACCGCTTCCTTCTCTAGTTATACCAACTTTAGTAACGACCGCAGGATAGAAATACAGAGAGCCACGCCCCCAACCAAAACGCCACTCTATAGCCACAACTAATGCTCAGAACAGCACCTAACTTCATCAACAGGACATATAGGGTCACAGACATAGTACTAGACACCAAACATCTTTTTAACTTTGACTCATTTCTTTAGCAAAGAGACTAAACACAACTCACCTACTCTCTTCCAGCAGACGCTTGTTTGTAGAGAGACCTCAGGCCAGTCCATTACAGACTACAATAATCAATAATAATCATAATAATCATCATATTGATCATTTTACAGACGCGGTAGTTCTTCTGTCTTAGCGTCTCAGTCTGATTGTATTTCCATGAAGAAATGATCATAAATGTTCTTCCTTGAGCTGCGGCACCCCGCTGTAGTCTGTAATGGACTGGCCTGAGGTCTCTCTACAAACAAGCGTCTGCTGGAAGAGAGTAGGTGGCATTATTTGTGGCTATAGAGTGGCGTTTTGGTTTTGGTGCTGAGCTGTCAGTTCAAGTCAATCTGTGCTGATGAGCTACACAAACAACCGAAACTCACACACGCACACACACACACACACACACTCACACATACACACACACACACACACAGACTTCTCCCCCGTTGACTCTTAACCGCTTCACACCAAGAGGTCTCTTTAATTGCCACCAGACAGCACTGTTAGTGTGTGTGTGTGTGTGTGTGTGTGTGTGTGCGTGTGTCTGTGTGTGTGTGTCAGTAAGAGAGTGAGTGAGTGTGAAATATGTTGCTATGGCAACAACATCCTCCCTGATGATACACGCTCGAGCTCAGAAATGTGTGTGTGTGTATCCGAGCATCCTGTTGTCGACATAAAGCTGAACATCATGTTTCTGAGCAGAAGAATGACATGAGACTAAAATACAGTTGGTAACAGTG